GATGTTTAGCAACTCTGAAAATATTTATTACATTAGATAAATAAGGCGTCAATAATTTTTCAAATTTCTTCCATATAGTGTCATTGTAAACTATTATTCAAGTTTTGATAATGTTATACATAAATGTACAATCAAACCAATAATCAAGCGAACATGATTGCGGGTTATTTAAAGTCACCCTTTGTGTGTATTTAATGTAGGTTATTTTGTAAGCTTGATTTTTCGCTTTCTTTCAGTTTATTTTCAATTACAACCACTTACTAAATTATGAATTAGTTTTTTATAGTTATCACTTCTTTTTGGTCATTTCTTCTTAATCTCTATGTACCTTTACATTTATTGGTTAAAATTATTTATTCCGCTATACAAATTTTTTGAGCTTAAACAGCCATACGTATTACGATTGCGTATATTTTCTGTATTTTTATTTATTAATGGCCTACAATGTAATTGGCACTGTCTTTTATTATCTAGATTGTATATTAGTACAAAATCCCAAAAGCTGACACATAATATTAATTCTCGAAATAGGATGATATATCTTTGGAAAATATCACAGTTGAAAATTGCGAACTTGATTGCGAATTCGTATTCCAGTATCTTTTTAGTTGATCAGCACACATGTTAATAATTAGTCAATTTTAATACTTGATGTGAACCGGGCGAAGGTCAGTTAGTACTGATTGAAATAGATCCACTCAAATCTCTTCATTATGTTAATAGGTTATATTTTGGAAATTATTTTGCTGTAAAATAGGAGGAAAATACTTTGGCTTATGAAAGTTTTTCTTTCTGCTAACGAAGCTTCTTAGTCTGATGGACTAATTTGAAAAGTAAAGAGAGAATGAAGGAGAGGGCAAGAATCGAGCGTCTTAACCTATTGTCATGGAATCGTCGTGTTTACCGATTTCCCTGGTAATTTAGTAATTATTGAGAAAGAGGTGACTGTATGACTCTAGTCAGTATTCTCCAACTGTGCGGATTTAACAGTTTAATCGAACAAAAAATGCGAAATCCTTCAATACAATTCCTTATCTTTACCGTTGTTTTTTACCTTTTTCCATCTATTGCTTCTTTTTCCTGCAGTGCTAGGCTTCAATGTTTACCTAAATTACTGTATTCAAAAACACCATGCAGACTTCTATATCCGCAGAAGAGTTTGCCCGCTTCCAGAACCAGCTTCTAGACCTCCGCCAAGCCAAGTACTTTGCGGAAGAAAATCTCACTCGCGCTCAAAAGAAAACAGAATCCCTTGAGGCCGCATTGGCTCATCAATCTGGTGAATTAGCCGAATTACGCAGTCGCTTCTCTCTTATTCAGCATGCTGGAGATATTGAGGCCCTGGCTAAAGAAAATCACTGCCTTCGGCAACGTCTCTTGAACGTTGAATCCTCATTCCAACTCCAGTCCTCCACTCTACGAGCTGAGTGTGAAAGACTTCAAGCAGAGAATAACCTTTTAAAACAAGATTCTCGCGTTGCTTCCTCGTATTCTACTTCCCATCTTGAAGTTCAAACTGAATTGATCTCTCTCATTTCCACAGCTAGTCAAACTTATACAGTTGGTCGTGCCTCTGCAGAAATTCAAACAGAAATTACTTCGAGCAATTTGAAGGAATGGTTTACCAAAGCTGAAGAACTAGATAACCTCTCTGCACTTCTTGAGGCTGAGCGAAAGACATCAGAAGACCTTCTTAGGGACGTTGCCCGACGAGAAATCGAAATAGAAAGACTAGAAGGTGAGCTTGAAGTATTGAGGGGTGAGTTGACTGTGGCAGAAAAGCGTAGTGAAAGTGTTCGGAGGGAACTGCAGAGGCAACTAGCATCTGCAGTGAAGGCTGCTAAAAGAGCGTCTACATGTGAGAATGCCCCTTCGCTTTCAAGTCTGGTTATGGTTCCGAATGGCGCCAACTTGGATGGAATATCGGTGGACTCATTTAGTTTTTGTCAAATGCAAACAGGAAATGATTCCGGGGGAGGTGAAGGCTCAGAGACATCGTCAAGTTCTCAGGCTCATCAACAAGCACTACAACAGACAATGTTCACAGAAGATGATTTGAAGGTAATTTTGATTGATCATATGACAACTTTTTTCCGTTTTTTCTCAACGTGCCTGCTTTTGTCATGACGTCTACCTATTTTGTGAAATTTTCGTAGTTCGATTAAACCAGTGAAATTTTGACATTTTAAGTCTATCTTGTCTAATGCAAGTTTAAGCTTGGGAGGCCACCTTTCTTCATTGATAATACCTTGAATCTTGTTACAGCAGGTCGTTTTTCTTACATTCTACAGTTTTTGTTCATAATGCCCTCATACTACTTTTCAAGGTATGCTAGCAAGCATACCTTCGTTACATTCGAGAGAAACCCACAACTATCGCCAGACTATCGTTTTTTACTTTCCCACACCAGCTCCGGGCTATGTAAAACCAATTATGCAGAATCCGAGGCAGTCAATTATCGGCTAACTAGCCAGCCAATTATTTATTTATTTATTTATTTCAAATGGCAGGCGTTTTGATAGCTATCATTAGCCCTTTAGTTGACTTCGGGAAGTAGCAGAAAGTCGAGGAAGGGGAGCAGAAGAGCGATTCACAGATGTAAAAGAGGCAGACAGACACAAAGGCAAAGAAAAAGGTAAAATGAGTACTGTGAAAGTGGTCGAATATGGCATACAGTGAGGCCATGGTATTTTGAAGTCAGAAGTCAACTGCCAGCTTATAGACTTTTTTGCCGTATGAGCCTACGTTGCCCAGGGTGCACCACGTGGAGGTAAGTCTATCGCACACCCCGCCAGCCAATTATTTGACACATTATTCACACCCATACGATTAACGCTATTTTCTTATTAATAAGCGTCGTTACAGCNACTTTCGGACTCACAGTCAGCAATAAACTCAATTGGAAACAGAGAGCCACCCAAAACAGCTGAGATAAAGGAATGTAGAAAACTCTATGAGTTGCTGAGAGAGAAAAACAAAACAGTCGTCCTAGAATGGATTCCTGGTCATTGTGGCATTAATGGCAATGAGCTTGCTGACACACTTGCTAAGAAGGGGACAAAGATTTTGCAATGCATGGACCGGCCGATGTCTTTCCACACAATGAAGGCCTTAATCAGAAGAGAATTCAAGACCTCAAGATGCACCGAACTTAAGGCTCGAACAAAGGAGAAAGAGTGGACAGTAGCACTCTCCGACATAACCGACTGGCCAAGAATCGAAGCCGTTGCTGAGTTTAGACTACGTACCGGACACGATTGCTTGGCAAAACACCTTCACAGATTGGGAGTATATACTCATCCCACATGCTCCCTATGTAACCTACATGAGGAAATGGAGAAGACCCACCTGATTCGATGTCCAGCTCTAAAGATAACAACGGAAAGCCAGAGATCCTGGGAAGCAAGAAGACAGCTAATGAACTGCTATTAATTAACTGCTATAAATGTACCCTCCCCCCACCCTTGGGGTAAGCTGATGTCAAAGTTTAAGGGCAAATGATAAATATCATAAAGCCTGCCATTTGAAATAAATAAATAAATTTTTATTGCTCTATGGAATTGTTGATTAACTGGATGCTTTAATTGGCCCATCAACCACTTCAGATGTATGTGCTATTCCAAAGGTCGATTTGTAACAGGTTAACATAATTTTGGATGAATAGAACAAAGCTCTGCTTCATAAAGTTTATCTAATTTATAATAAACGGAACCATTGCAGTGATTTTAATATCATATACAACAAAATTCAGTTTTTTAAATTTACAAATAAGTATTTGTTACCAGTGTTAAAAATATCAATGCTATATCTATATATGATATCTATAAAAGCAAATAAGCTTAAATAATGTGGCTCAAACTAATTGATTTTTTTGGATATAACGGTTCAATGAAATATAATTCTCCAAAACTGTTTTTGAATCCTCTGAAATGGACATAGTAACCTCTCAGCCAATCAGTAAACGAGTTTATGCATTCACTGTATTTATTAACTAAGCTAGCTATTAGCAGAAGGGTAACATATGCTATAAACGTTTAGCACGTCATCCATTCTGTTTTGTGCTAGCTAAAATCAGGAGTAATTTTCTAAAAGGGGACTTTCCCAGACAGGACCGAAGCAGACTATACGGAAATGTGAGTTTCATTTCACTTAATTAAAGGGGTCTCGGATTTTGGAAGAACATAATCGCCTGAAGTTGCGTAGCCTGTAACGCGATAACCTTAAATATATCCCGCGGAATTGAGAGAAAATTGCAGTAGAGATCGTTATTATAAATAATATTCTTATTTCGAAATCTCTATTTCTCTAATTTTCCATCTGTGGCAATTACATCCACATATAGACTTTGTTCATTTCAACTTAAAATATTTAAATGTCATTTAGATTGAATAATTTTGAACTTATTTAATTTGACTTCAAACGAATAGAGGAATAATTGGGAAGGTGATAAAGAAAATAATAATGAATTTCATTGAAAATTAGCTTCCTGTCTGTTGAAAAGAACTATAATTTTCCGCCGTTTGGTATTCTAACCAACACTTACACTTCAATCATAGGAAGAAAAAAACATGGATATATTGCAAGGCTTTTCCAATTAAATTTTCTTCGATATCTAATTAAAGGCTTTTTAAGGTCTAGGATTGAATTTCTAATATGGTATTCAAGGTGTAGAAATGTAGTCGATTAACAAATGTTTAAATACCTTTCAAATTAATTTTGATGAGCCAATTTTGAGTAGTGCATTAACTGACTGAATTCTCTCAGTTTTATGACTCTATTTCCGCAATCTTCTTAATCACAAGATTGGATTTGCAAGAACTGTTTACTGGGTGTCCACAGATATATATAAGGCGCTCATTCAAGCATGCGCACCCGAGTGAATGTTGTTTTAGCGTTTAAAAATTTTCAACTCAAATTCTAGCCAGTGTTTGATGAGCTAAATTTTGTGAATTTAATTAAAATTAAATATGGCTTTATATTAAATAGTAACATTAGGGAAATTGAGAATACTGACATTCTAATGAAAGGGGTTGGACGTAGTAAATATCTAAAACAAATAGCAGATCTGTTAGAAATGAACCTAAGGTACATTTGGAATTTATGACCCATGGAAATCGGGATTGCCTTAATATTTTAACGAATGCTAAAAGAATTATTATCTTCCTTTTGAAATTTATGCCATATATCCTGGTATCTATGAAAAAATAAAGTTTAAATTCATTAGCAAATTTAAGTTGAATAAATTTGACCTTTTCCATTCACGACTGGTTTAATGAAATAATGTAAATACTTATGTATACCAATGAAGAAATGAAGAAGTGTTGTAAGGAAAAACTGTCAATATGCCCTTATGAAGGTTTGGTAATGTAGTTGTTTGATATTATACTCCAGAATCCAATATTCTAATCTTACGCACAGATCTAACGGCATAGCAACAGAATAGCCACTTTCGGATGTAGAGTATTGTTAACAAGATACTGTGTTACTAACTAAAAGGATACGAAATGGAAGAGCCAGAGTATTGATCAATTATTATTGTTAAATCAATAATCCCTAAAATTATTGTGTGGCTAAACCTCAAAGGTATAATGATAGGATACTTGTGAAAATTAATGACCAACTTAGACCCAATACAGATAAAGGTTAAAGAGAGCGGATTGATATTTATTAGTAAATAAGAATTAAAAATTTATTAAACATAAAGTCATTGCAATTTTTCTAAATTACAATTTAAATTAATTTATTTCAAATGGCAGGCATTCTGATAGTCTTCATTAGTCATTTAGCTGACTTGGGACTTCATAGAGAGAAGGAGGAACATCAAAATGAAAAATTCGTGAGGGGGGGGGGACAGAATAATGATTCACAGGTGTAAAAGAGATAGACAGACCCAAAGGCATAGAAAAGGTAAGATGAGTACTGTGGAAGGGGTCGAATATGACAAACAGTCCGGCCATGATAGTTGGAAGTTAGAAGTCGATTGCCAGATAATAGACTTTTCTGTCCTATGAATATACGTTGCCCAGTGGGCACCACGTGGAGGTAAGTCTATTGCGCATCCCATGAAGTTCTAAATAAAATCTTGAAATTTGATGAAAAATAGTATTAACTGACAGTATGTAAAGAGTGTGAATTTAGTATTCGCCTAATGGGACATTTTGTGATTTCTGAGGCTATGCTTATCCCGGTTTTATTGCTAGAGAGTTTATTTATTTATTTCAAATGGCAGGCGTTTTGATAGCTATCATTAGCCCTTTAGTTGACTTCGGGAAGTAGCAGAAAGTCGAGGAAGGGGAGCAGAAGAGCGATTCACAGATGTAAAAGAGGCAGACAGACACAAAGGCAAAGAAAAAGGTAAAATGAGTACTGTGAAAGTGGTCGAATATGGCATACAGTGAGGCCATGGTATTTTGAAGTCAGAAGTCAACTGCCAGCTTATAGACTTTTTTGCCGTATGAGCCTACGTTGCCCAGGGTGCACCACGTGGAGGTAAGTCTATCGCACACCCCGCCAGCCAATTATTTGACACATTATTCACACCCATACGATTAACGCTATTTTCTTATTAATAAGCGTCGTTACAGCTCTAAGTCCTCTATTTTCCTCTTTCTGGAAACTGAGTCGCTGCTGATTTACCAAAACTATGACAAGGCAAAAATTAAATTGCGCTTATTATAAATTTTATTTACCTTAACGTGACTTACATTATATTGGAAGTAGCGTTTAATTACTTATGGGTGAATTTACCCGAGTCGCGTTTTGCGATCGAAGGTGGGCAAATTTTACTGGCATTGCGTGTTTCATAAATAAGTTAGAATTTTTTACTCAAAGAAGCTATCGAATTTCAAATATTTGGTTGTGGAACAGCTATCCTTTTTTAGCGTCTGTGGGTTTGGAGGATGTCAGTCGGTCTGACCTAATATTACCAGAGTGTGTAAGTCAGCTGATCTTTAACCAGCGTTTTTTTTTCACATCCTCACTGCATTTGGATGTATTTGACTGCTTAGGCTTTCTATCGTTTTGTTTCTTGAACAATTGCTGCATTTTCAGTAAATTTTGTTTGGCTTAATCGCAGTTAGGGCTGCCGAACACCAAAAAGATCGCTATTGTATGTAATTTTTCTAACTGTAGAGGTCTATGAGTTTTTTTTGCGGCCAAAGATGGAAATTAGAAAGGTGCTTTTCTCTTAACCTGCCATGACTACACTCGGTTCGAGTTACCTCGGTAATTCTTTAATTGTAAGGAGCCGCTTAGTGAAGACCAAAGCCACTGAAAACTTGTCAAGCTATTTAACAATTTTTTTACCGCAGGAATGGAGAAATAAAGCCAGAGGCTCATCTTTCTTATTTGATGAGTTCGCCATTTGCGATATAACGATGAATTTTATTAGAAACTCGATAAATATGCTAGCTATCTCTCATCTTGTGGAATATGGGCTTTTTTTTCTGTGTAAATATAAAACTTTTTGCTCGATAACTCTGACCTTATATTTACTTCCCATGGCAACACTGGTCTAATTAGCATAATTGGGATCAAGGATTACATATTAATTGAACCTCTGTCTTTTTCCATCATTTGTTAATGCGACTTAATAACCTGCTTTTGATATCATGCTAATCATTTTCTAATTTGATTCCATAGGGTCTATTGGCTCGTTTATCGGAAGTTCAAGAGGAGAATTGTAGTCTTCGACATCAGTTGAGCAAGCTTACACTTGAACTGGATGCAAAATCTAAGATCATTCAACGATCAATTAATGCCAAATTCACACCCAACAGCCTTCCACCTCAGTCCCATTCCTCATGTAGGGCATCTTGTACTTGCCAACACATGCTGCTGAATTTACATTTAAGTAGCATGGATAACCTGATATTTTGTTCTTAGGCCCAGAATCGCATTCGAATGCGAGGATACAGACTTCTTCCACTACCACAGGCTCAAATCCAATGCGTCTTGCATCTGATATGATTTCCACTCTTCGTTCAAAAATTAAGAATATGGAGACATTTTCATCAACATCTCTCAATACTGATGAGCTTAAGGGTCTTAAGCGACTCTGCGAGGAGCTGATGACAAGAAACATATATCTGGAACGGGCACTTGAAGGTGCTGTTGCTGGCGCTCGCACTGAAATGGAGGATTAACTTTTTTGCCGTTCATTTTTATTTTTCTTCCACTTGAACCATCTGTGATATCTTCTCTCTTGTTTACGCATTGTGATATACTGATCTGATGGCTCGAATATTTCGATGGGTTATTTTATTCATTAAATATATTTATTCTACTATCCAATGGGCACATTTTACTTGATTTGATCTACTCGTAGGTGGAGATAAGGGAATTTCAAAATATACATGCCATTATTTACTTAATTAATTTAAGTAGGATCGTTTGTAGACATGCCAAGTGAACTCGCCTGGTTAACAAATGTTTATCGGTAGGGGTGTGCGATAGACATACCTCCACGTGGTGCATCCTGGGCAACGTATACTCATACGGCAAAAAAGTCTATAAACCGGCGGTTGACTTATGACTTCAAACTACCATGACCCCACTGTATGCCATATTCGACCACTTTCACAGTACTCATTTCACCTTTTTTCTACCTTCGTTTTTGAAACACTCTTCTGTCCCCCCCCCCTCTCGACTTTTTTCTACTTTGATGTTCCTTCCCCTCTGTGAAGCCTGAAGTCAACTAAAGGGCTAATGATAACCATCGAAACGCATGCCATTTGATATAATAATAATGTTTATCGGTAGTATAGTTGTCACAGTGTCTACTCAATTGAGTTGAAAATTTTGAACCTATATTTGCAATTAATTCCTTTAAG